AGTGACCCCTAGAGGACGCAGTGTCTCGTTCCCTACTCAGGGAACCATGGTTACATAAGTAACCTGAGACGTTATTTGATAGCACTATATTGTAGACAGATTAATAAGGAGATTAATCCTAATAAAAATGCCGCTACAATTACAACCATCACATTAAAATAAATGTAAAAGTGTATTTCTATAACTTCAGCAGCGTGCAGATCCTCGTTTATGTCAGGACTGTGGCGACAGCAGCGCGGACAATCACTTAGCTCGCTCACATAATGTACCATATATCTATTATAACTGGAAAACATTGTTTTTATGACACGTCGTTATTGCAAGAAAAAATGTAGCTTTAACAAAAAAAGATGTCGTTTTAAGGACATATCTCGATATTACGAGAAAAGATGTCGTTTTAACGAGATAATTGTTGTTTTAATGACATCTCGTTTTTACGAGAAAAGATGTTGTTTTAATGAGATGTTTTAATGACGTAACATCTCGTTATTATGAGAAAAGATGTTTTAACGACATAACATCTCGTTATTACGACATAATTGAGTGGAAAAAATAATGTGTGGCAGCAATGCGTCACCGTAAATAATAGCATTATTGTCCAGCTCAATTCAATTCAAGCTTTTGTTCTTATCTGACAGAGCCAGTGCAGCCTAATTGATGATTTTGGAATATTACTTGTTTTTTAAACCCCAACTGAGCAGCCCAAAGGTGACAATGGCAGGGAACACAAACTCGGGACAGTAGTGGAAAAAAAACCTTGAGAGAAACCAGGCTTAGTTGGGGGACCAGTTCTCCTCTGGCCTAAATGGACAAATACACTGGGCCTCGTTTACAAAATGAATGTGTAACAGAAAATAGGGCATACGATCATTACTACAGAAAAGTTGGAATTTATCAATATGGACGTGAGCAGTGGTTAAGATCAAATCTCACATCAGGTGCCTGTACCATGGTGGTGGCTGAACAAACTCAGGGTTACAGGATTAGTTTTGAGTTGACAAAACCAAACCAATCAAATCCAATCAAAAGGTACTACCATGGTCAAGGCACAGAAACAAAGTAAACCCTCCGCACCTTCTCCTTCACCTCTATGTGCTTCTTGGCTACCTTAGCCTTCAGAGCTTTTCTTACTGGGGAAGATGAAGGTAGGGTCCAACAGGCTAACAAAAGCCCTGAAGCCTTCACCCTCAACCACAGAAAATGGCTGAGTGTCCTTCACAACCATCTGGACAAGGACCTCATCCAGCTCTAGTTGTTGGGACCCTACTAAAACATTAATAATAATTTTAGCACATATTTTGCACACACACATACAAGACATATAAGAGGTCATTGTACTATTAAAAACATCCTGTACGTTTCAGAGCTCAAAACTTTCTCGTTAGTCTAAAAACATACTGAAGCCAGTCTGCCAAAATGACAGGTTGCGTAGTGTTTCACTCTATGATGTAATAGTGTGGCTAAACTCTACCTCCGCAGAAGAAGATCAATGCCTGCTTCTACATCTCTGCCTGTTTAGATCTGCTCACTGATTCGCGCATGTTGTGTACATAACGAGAGCTTCGAAAGCAGGTCTACGTTGAAACCAGATGATAAAGATGGCGCCGAAGACAAGATGACGCTGTACAGTGCCAAGCTGTGGAAAATGAGTCTTTGCATTGCCTTCCTTCTGATCCCAACGTTGGGAAAGAGCGGATGAACATTATTTTAAATGAAGATCCAGACCGCATTAGTAAGAGCTTGGTGCTTCCCAGCAGACACACAACGTCATAAGACGTTGATATTTGGTTAAATTTCGGTTGCGACGTCGGGTGACCAAAATTCAATGTAAATTCAATGTCTAATGTCAATGTTAAATTGATGTCCAATACCGACGTCAGCTGTCAAATATTGACGTCACCCCGATTTTCATATTCAACTAAAATGCAACGTCTGTCTGACGTCATGTAACGTCAGGTTGACGTTGGACATAGACATCCGGTGCCTGCTGGGTTTGTTCACTTCATCTTACTGCAGATTCATTTACAAACAAGGCACAATTCGACGCAGGATTTTCAGAAAGATTGAAACTAAAAGACGATGCTGTGCCGGTATTGGATCCAACAGTAATGTCACAACACAAGTGTGAGTTACTGTTTTTATTACGTGATCTCTATTGCTTTGTCTGTTATTACAGATTGTTTATGTACTGGGTATTTATGCATTTTTTACCTGAATCGCAACAGCGTCCATGTATAAGGAATGTACGCTGTCAAACATACACAGCTGTTAGTCAATCATAGCAGTGGGCGTTTACTTCAAAGTCTACAATCCTCCACGCCTATTCAGACAGAGCGTTCTGATGAGGGGGGTTAAAAACAGGACAGAAAATAGCCTATTACTTCTAAATTGTTTTTTTTTTTAATGTTAAAATCTTGATAATATTAAAAGGGGACCTCGGAGAACAGTACAAAATAATACATTATTTTATTTGCAAGTAGCAGTAAGAGAGAAAGAGATTTTTATTTACAACAGGGTTCGTACAGAAACTGCAAAATTAAATTCCAGGACTTTGAAGGACTTTTCAAGCACTACTTTTTTCATTTTCAAGGACTAAAATTAGAGATCACAATATTGTCATTATCTTTCAAATGACGGGTTTGGAATGACATGAGGATGAGTAATGACGGAATTTTCATTTTTGTGTGAACTAACCCTTTAACTGCTCCTTAGTCGAGAATTCTGTCTTTTAAATGAAACCGCAGTCTACATTTATTGCTATAATAGTGTGTTTGTAGGGTTACTCATTGAAAAGGGGCCTGTATCATCTGAGAAATATGTATGTCTGTCCTAACTAGGGCTGCCCCCGACTAAAGATTTTTCTGGTCGACTAGTAGTCGTTTATTTTAAGCATTAGTCGACTAATCGCACATTTATTAATAAACAATTTAAATCATTGTAATGAGCCTTTAACTGCCTACATAACCTAATAAGCGCTCAAGCGCACGCATAAAGCTCGCCATAGCGCACTGGCAGAAGCTAATGATTATGTATGTGTCAGGGAAAAAC